GGATGGGTTTGTGGAGTTCTTCCATGTAGAGGACCTAGAAGGCGGCATCAGAAATGTGCTGCTGGCTTTTGCAGGTGTTGCTGGAGTTGGAGCTGGTTTGGCATATCTAATTAGATAGCCTTGTAAGTGCAATAAATGACTTTTAACCAACTCCAGCCACCAAAACCATAGACTTCTGCTGTGAAATTAAATGTATTTATGAAGTTGGACATCAAGCTTCACAAGCTGTAACTTCCAAGAGTCCTACTCTAGCATCCTAGCCAGAAAAGGAAGCGGCAAGAGGATTTTGGCTAACAGGAATAAATACATGGGAAAAGCAGCCCTGCTTCCTTGAAGAGTCACTGTCTGAAAGGAAGGAGCAAAGTTCATTTTCAACATCAGGCCATCTTTGAGAGGCCAAGGAGGACTTTTAGTGAAGATTGTAGGGTGGAAAGGAATTCCAGTAGCCAGCTAGTCATAGAGTTCATTAAACATGCCCACTGAATTCATTGACTTGGTTTAGTGTTGAAAAACAAATCATTATCAATACCAGGGACTTACGTAAAATGGATTTAAGCTACAAGTAGTAAGAACTATTGCTAGAAGCTTCAATGTACTGTACAACAGTGTGAAGGGAAGCATTTCCTTGTTGATTGGCTTTCCCAGGTATACTTGTTCTTGATGAATATGTTCATATGTTTTTCAGGACTTTGTACCTATTCTACTTTGGCTTGATTTAATAGCCTAGTTATGGCCGAGAATACTTGTCTTTAGGCTCAGTAATAATTGCAAAAATGGGATATCTTCAATTTTTTACAGGAAACTTGTAAATGCCAGCTGTCTGTAAAAATAGTGTATATTTTTACAGAAAATTTTTGTTTCTTCGAAACAAAGGTGGAAAGTCTCAAATTCACAGTTAAGTTTTGTTTTGGTCCCCACACTTGACATTTTACAGAGCTAGCATTTATTTAACAGTTGTTCTGGTCTAAATTTTTACTTGGTCAGTTCTAGAATGTATACAGAATCCATTGATAAAGCAGCTTGGTTATGGTGGAACAGTTCTGATTCATAACTATGCAGGCTTTAATTTTCCTGTCTGATTTTGATAAA